CGAAATAATAAACCACGACTTTCGTGTGCATTTCTAGTCTTACCCGGTTTTTCGACACGAGAGTATCAGGTTTATAGCACTTTAAAATCGATTGAACGTGTCTTTCTGTTAGCACAACTCACATAAGCAATGTGGGTGAAGAATATCAGACAAGAGGATCACCCTCAGGCAAGAAGGGGTTAAACGCACTTGCGACCTGACTCGTGCCACCAAGGAATGCCAAAGGAAGGAGTTCAATTACCCGAAAAAGATGCTCGTTTTCAGCATACTGGCGAAGCAGCACGTGCCCGTACTTCTGGGCATTTTCCGTCAACCGAGGGCTGTCGTCGAGGTACGTTGCCTCGCTTATCAACAGTTTCACCCGCAGAAGGTCCGGATGCGCAGGCCCCGTGAATATTGAAAACCGCGTATCCCCTAAAACCGATCGAATTCTCTAACTGATCCCTCACAAATGGGTACAAAAGCGTGTCCTTAGTACTTATGAATAAGCCGAAATACACAAATGTGGACATGCAAGGGAACTGTGCGAATTGACACGAGGGATAACGTAAGAGACACACTAAATAACTGCGTGTCACAAATACAACATACAGAACACTAGCACCGATTGATTTGCGTACTTCTAAAACATGGTAATAAGTGAACGAATACTGGCGCCCAAGTACTTTGGCACAAGTGGACACCATCTTTGACTGTGGAGTGCAAACCGGGAGTTAAGATTACCTGTGTAGGCAACCTCAGGTATCCGACGGCCTCGTGCAGTGGCTTGTCGATAGAGGATGTAGCCTTGACTTGGGACGACATGGTCGGTGGCAAAGCTTTCCACATACCACGAAGCATTAATCTACAAATTTACTGAATCATTTTAGCGGAACTACTAACAGCTCTGGCAAAAAAGGCATATTAGCGTTTAGAAATGCACAAGTTGCCGCACAAATTGGTATTCTCACAGGCAACACACGAGCACAAGAACGCAGCAGCAGCTCAGGCAATGCCTTAGAAACACGCGCATTACGTTCTCTCATAAAGTAGCATACATCTAATAACCTAGATTTACTTTCTCTCAACGTCCATCTACACGCTTCGCATTGAAAACACGGCCACCTCACACAACGTAGATTGCAGAATATTTGTCACACAAAAGTTGTGTTCATTTAAATACCATTTAACAAAGCATCAGTTAGAACAAACTGTAACAGGCACGCACCTGGATTGACGACCCCGGATCAACAGCCACTATGTTTGGGCACCGAAAACACTCCAAATCCCTCCCGTGAAGCTGACTGAATATTCGACATAGTTCCTTAACCGGTTCAACTAACTGTGGCAGAAGGTAGTACACAGCTGGAGCGAGTCCATTCAATTCGCGTTTACGCATGTGCTGGCATATTGCTCCAATGTGGTCAATGTGGCCATGACTTGATCCTTTATCACACAGCAAATGGTGCATACCTTATGAACACGTGATCAGCACGCTTGGACCACAAAGGAGCTGCTCCAACGTCAAACATAAACAGTAGTTCGTCTTTTAGGACGCCGACAGACGTCTCGTTGCCAGATATCGACCATCCAAATACTTCGAACCCGTTTATTAAACAACCCAAGCCCATGCAATAACATCCGACTAGTTTAATTGGGCATAAGTCGAAGCCAAATCAACTTGAAAGGTTGCCATTTTTAATCAACCTTGAAAACTGCACAGTTCGTGATAAATCATGTTGTCTATTGTTTATGTCTTTGTCTACAGTTTTGGTGCATTTTTTTTACCAAATCACATACTGCAATGCCGCTAAATTAGCAACACTTACTGCGAAAACCAACTCCGAAATAGAAAGTAGTAGCAACTCAACATCTACCTTCGACACTGTTATTATAATTTTGTTTGCTAATTAATGTTTTTAATTTTAAAAAAGATTTGAGCAAATACTGCACTCGCAAGCACATATACAACTCCCTCTGGAACATTTAACAAATCAGTTGCTCAGCTCCAGAGAGAGAAAACTACATGCTGGCACAATAGACAATTCGGTGCCTGCGTCAAAAAGAGGAGCATATCATGGCACTACAAAACAATGTGATGCATAGTTTCTTACGGAAAAAGGCGGTTGATAATTGCAGTCACTGACAACCCTAAAAGTTGTTGCTGTTTAAACAGGTCGACAGGAGCTTAACAAAGTCGACAGACCATTTTGACGTGCACCTGCAATGCGATTCCCAGACCAAGAGTGCGCACGTGATGGCTAACGTCCCGCATTAAACCATTTTATGCAGGTGTTTACAAACTGGCACCCTAGGTGGATGCATCCCCAGCCTACCTAAGATCTCTTGAACCTTATTAAATGGCTGCCAACAACAAATGCATCCACCGCATTATCCGCTGACCGCATACTGTCGGCGGACAACACACAAACTGGGTTACTCCATAAAGCGACTATTTTAACGGTCAAATATTCTTTGATGCATCCAACCTTGAATTGCCTGGCCATATCGAGCCAGACACTTCAGACTCAAAGTGTATGGTCCTTATATTCAAAGCACTAATACCAACTTATCCATGCAGTGTTCTTCAAGTGAATAATTCACACTTCCACAACGAGGACCTAGTTACAATGTTGCCAAGTGACCGAATTAACAGATGGTCAAGACGCTAGCGCCGAATGCATGCGTCGTGCGAAAGTGATTGTAAAGCGCCCTGAGTGACGCACTGCCTCTGTAAACGCCTAAGCTATTCAACTCAAAACCGCGCACGATAAGTGTTTGCTACTTATGCCCTTATTAGTAGTTGTGTTAAAAATAGAGGCAGCAGAACATCCGCTTAACGGATACTCAATACATAGCAACAAAATGAGCAACTTGGATCTTATACCATGCGGCACCATCTGTTCTCACGTACCACTTGCAATCAACACAAATCGGGTTGAACTGTCTAGTAACCGGTCGTATCTCTGGCGCCTCTGGTCCTCTCATTGTCTCCTGGGGTATGTGAATGTCCTAAACGGGATCAAGAACACACGCCGAGGCCCACAAGAACAAACATCAAACACGAACACAAGGCGAGTTGTAAAGCCGTGATATTACTTCGAAATTTTATTAAATTAAACCCCGCCCCAGCCTGCCCGCCTATTTTCCAAATTACATCGATTATTCGAAGGGCCCAGGCAAAATCGCGCGTGATGTACTCGAGGTGTCAGTCGCATTGCAACGCTTTGGTCATCTCTCGCGAAAAGTGGCAAGAAATTCGTAGCCTCAGCGCTAGTCCAGTCTCACAACGCTTACGCCGCACGCAGTACTACCTCATGTGATACTCGCATTGTCCTTGTGTGCTTGCAACCTCGTACTGCCAGTATCGGCTGCCCGCAAAAGTCCGTGACCGATTATCATAGGTGCTGCAAGCTTGCACTTTTAACTGCGCCGAGGACTCTTGGTAACCGTGCATTTAACTGATAGCTGCATAAATACCCCCTGAGTGAGCTTGAGCTAGGGGAACATTTGAGATTAATATCCATGTTTATGTCGTATTCGAAGTGAACGCTTACATACCCCTAAGCCACACGAACGTAACATTTCTTCTTGAATTAAGTAGTGTACATCTGACCACTGCACACTCCACTTGGTATCTACGTGTCTTTCCATGCGTTTCCAACACAATTCAAACACCATTCAACAAGAAGTCTTTTTAACCTGCGGAGATGGTGGAATCACCATCTAGAAAACATTCGACTGACACCTGTTATGTTGCCGTACGGATGGGAGAAATAAGAGCAGCAGCAGTAACGGTATTGTCCAGGATTTGCAGATAAGAGATTTAATGCAAGAATAGAAGGACGCAACCTAATTATTAGCTCGTCTATCTTGGTTGAACACTACTGATGACATTTAAGGCCTTCGTTGGGTGTCCATAACGAGTAGGTTGGTGAGGCAGCCTCTAAAGCTGGTGTAGTTGTGGCAAACAGGGTTGAGGAACGCTGCTTTTAGCTGACGCTCAAAGAACCCCAGGAGAAGTAGGGTGACAAGAAGGCGGGTGGACGCAACTGTGATATTGTGGCCGTGTTGGGGAACGTGGTATTGGAGCAGTTGCAAGCAAGAATCGAAAAAATTATGGGTCAAGCCAAAATTGAGTAACGTGAGACTAGCCTCTTCAAAGTAGCGTCAGCTGAAATGTGTCATACCGACGGTCTAAATTATGGCTTACCAGGACCTTCATTGCATTGTAGGGGGCTTCGTTAAACGGAAACCTTTAGTACCAGTGCTACTTCTGACAATACTACCGCCACTACCACGCCACTATTAAAACTACAACTAAGCACGGCTTATGAGAGGTTTTGAGGATTTCAACTCTCCTACAGACCGCTCTGCGAATACTTCCCAATGACGCATCTATCTGATCATCAATACATTCAGTAACCAGACAATATTATGACGTTATCCTACTGGTATAAGACAAACCACCCACACTACAACCAAATAAGAATCAGAGATTTAATTAATGCGATGAGCAACAAAAAGCTGACTTAACAAACGGCACACACCATTTTGACTGTAGGAAATCGTTGCTATCGTTAAGATACATGTGTTGGATAATTATTTTAACAATTATGTTCTGAAGTCCGAATAAGCGTATTATATCAAAATGCGTCCTCGTGTGATGTACTCATTGACATGCAGCGTCATTATATGTGCCTGCAACTTTGTGTTGCTAATAGTGGATCACGCTAAAACCCAGTGTGTCCGATTTTCCCAACGACTATAGGCATACAAACTTCACTGTGCTAATGAGGATGATTCCTTGTAATCACTTCGGAAATAAAATTACTGCAGAGGCCTCCTGAATCAACAAACACACATATAACCTAATACTTGTGTCCGAGTAAAATAGGAAATTGACAATGAAAGTTACGCTTTCGTCAGCTTACTTTTATTAAATCTGGTGGACGGTCGCGCAGGGTGATAAAATGCAGGAAGATGACATTATCACATGCATCTATTCGTTCCTTCTATAGTGTAAATAACGCGTCTGCTCACGTAAACTTCTTTTTATCTACGCCTTTCTAGACGCTTCCTCTTGAAACCACAGTCATCACATATCAAGTCAGTAGCAGGATATTGATGCTTGAACCTAGTGTGTTATTTAAAATGCCACCATCAAACAAAACAACAATAACAGGCATTAATCACTTACTTGTATTAATGATCCTGGTTCAAGTGCCACGATTTTCGGACATTGAAAACACTCCAAATCTCTCCCGTGAAGTTGGCTGAATATTCGACATAGTTCCTTAACCGGTTCAACTAGCTGTGGCAGAAGGTAGTACACAGCGGGTGGAAGATCATTCAACTCACGTTTTCGCATGTGCTGGCATATGGCCCCAATGTGGTCGATGTGGCCATGACTTCGTCTTTTATCAAAAAGCAAATGCTGCATACCTTATGAATACGTGCTCAGCACATTTCCACCAAAGAGGAGCTGCTCCGACATCAAATCTAAACAACAGTTCATCTTTTACGACCCCGATAGAGGTCTCGTTTCCAGATATCGACCATCCAAACACCTCATATCCGTTGATTAGCCAGCCCGGTCCCATATAGCAACCAGCGTGTCCAATTGGATACAAGTAAAAGCCTAATGGATTTAAAAAGATGTCATAACCGTGTGGCCTTGAAAGTGTCCTAAAATTATTGCAATTAACGCACGTTATACTAATTTTTAATAAAATTAAAAACGTATTATCACCTATTCATTAAATTTCAATTAAGTTAAATAAAAAAAGCATTATGATTATTTTATTTAGCACACTGTAACAAAACAAGGAATAAAATATTAGACAAAGAGAAAAAATTAAAAAAACTTAAAAAAATTAAAAGCAAACTAACCAACAATTTTAAATCTGAGATGTCGATGCTATAGGCAAAGGTTCCAATATCAGCTTCAAAATTCCGGATAATGAAGGATTCGCGGCAGTAAAGATTCCGAATCGGTATTCAGCATTAAAAATTTAAGATACGAAAATGGAGCTGCGAGGCATCACCTCAATAAAAACTGCACTCGCTTAATAACTTGCAGCAACTCTGTCTCAATCCAAACAAAACTCAACAAATTTAACTATAACACAAAAACGACACATGGTTCCACGTTCCAAAAAACCAAATTCCACCATGCACAAAAAATTAGACAGCGGCCACAAATCTCGCCGTCCACAAGAACCACAAATTTGACTCTTGCTTACTCCCTCACTCCCTCTCTTCCTCGACACTTCACACACTCTATCTCCCCACATTTACT